AAAACAATTTATTATCACGATTCACTTGTGTAGTAGGTTATCACGATCAATCTTATGATGAAGACAAGAAGAAGGTTGAAAGTGTAAAATAGTAACTTTATTAAACTGTAGAGTCTAGTCCCAAGACTTATTCAGAAAACTATCTGATCGAACTCTGTTGACTCAAGGTCAACTTACAGATATATTTATATAAAATTGTTAACTAATACTATACTACGCCTTTCAATAAGTATATATAATGAAAATAATATAAGTAATGAAAAGTAGACTATATAATATTTATATTAAAAGGTAAACTATTCGATAAACGATACATGTATTACATGTATGATTTTTGGTGCAGTTGAAGATCATTTCAAGGCACAGTATAAACTGCGGCTAACACCGGTAACAACTACACAGCGCGACATCTATATCACCTTGAATAGACATATATAGTCCTTCGATTCGCTCCGGACTAATGAATTATTTGAAATTGTGCTTGAATGTTTGATGGGTTCATCTAAAAAAAAAAATAATAAAGTTTAACAGTTAGGACTTTTTAAAACGAACTTTATTAAAAATTTCAAGCTTAATAAAATATGCAAGACGAAGAATCGTTATATTGGCTCAAAACCTTTTTTCTATAACACATGATATAATAACGTAGCTCAAAATATTTGTGTCCTATATAGTTAAAAACCATAAAAGGAAAAAAAAACAGTAACCTGTATTTGAAAAAAATAATTTATATTTATCGCCGCTTAAATTTTATAAATTGCGCTAATTTAATAAATTTATCGGTTGATTTTTAACGGGAATAATGTCATAAAAGAAAATTTGCGGTGCATGTTATCAATATTAAAATTAACGAAGCGAAGAAAATTTCGTATTTGTTGTTTTTAAATTTTTATTGTTTAGGCACGAGACACAAAACATGAATAATTCATTCGAAATGTTTTAATTCAACACTTAGTGCTACCTGCTCGTTTAGATCTCTCAAACCTATATGGAATGATTCCTGAGGAATCGTAAATCTTTACAAATGATTCTAAAATAATAAATAAAAGTTCAAATGAAAAACCATAATATAAACCATTTCAGCTAATAATTAAATAGTCACTTTACCTGAAAATTAGCGCAGTTTAATTATATTCGTAAAGGTTCATCTTATATATTATATTAATTCCAATCTTTTAACACGTATTGATCCGCTGTTCTATCATCATTACGAAAGAAGCATTAACGATTTCCCAGGTTGGTGAGACCGTAACCGTAAAAATTGATGTTAAAATAATTACAATGCGATAATTGATCGATAAATTTTAAAAGAATCATTAACGAGTTCCACTAACGATTCTTTATTAGCATGGGTTAATCGTATAAGTGCAAGGCCGAATGAAATTATCAACTTTATATTCTTTATATTCTTTTCTTGTTTCTCGTTTTTTTGACTTAATTAATCATGTTATCTTTAAACAGGGATTAGAATTATTTCTACCAAAATCGAATTTAACGAAAATCGAATTAAAAATCTTATCAATTTTTAGTGGCACTATAAGTGCGTTAGGGAGTTCTAATGTGTAATTTAACATCCACCATCACCCTGCTGTCAAGTATTATTCGATCGCTTCATCTCGAAGCGATTAAACCCATAAAATAAAATGCAAGGTAAGATAATTAATGAAATTGCCTTATCTGCTTTCAGAATCAAATTAAACCAAAAGAAGTACCTAAAGAAAAAAGTTCAATCAAGCTAAAGGGAGGATAGATGAAAATGTTCGATCGCAGCGTGCCTGAAGAAAATAAACTTATCCGAAAATAAAGAGAAAAAAGAAATATCACGGGCTGAAGCAAAAGTAGAAAATAATAGCATTAATGAGAAAATCTACTATAAATCAATCGATGGACACAATAGAATAATCGAACCCGAAAGAGGAGACCTTATAAGAAAAAATAAAAAAAAAATCGAAAACAATGAGAAAACATTCGCCTATTTTTATTAATCATTCGAACCCAAAAAAGAATGATTAAAAAAAACCTATTGAATTACCTTTATCTTTCAAAAAATCAAAAAAAAAATATATATAAAATATTAATAAAAAAAAAAAAAAAAAACAAAATTTAGAGTAAAAGAAATATCGAATCGTTATTGCAATAAACAATCGAACTTGAATCAAAGAATTCAATCAAAAAAACTGAAAATTGATTGGTATTCAAGAAGATTGCTACGCCACGCCATAAATCTTATGTCGAGTTTTTAAAATACTGTAGTAATTTCAAATTCTTTTGAAACCAGGACATTTTGGCAGGAGCGTTCCAAAGAATTCATTTTTTTGTTAAATAAAAAATTAATAGATGTCGATATGAATATTGTTTTATTCTAAAATATTCCAGAAAGTTCGATTGTTAGAGTAATAGATGCCGATATGACACGTAATGGTTTATTCTAAAAAGTAAATTTTATTAAAAATGATCCCCATGAGAAATTTCAAAACCTTTTCTCTCTTTACTTTCACTCAAATTAATAAAAAAGTATTTTAAATAGAAAAAAAAAGATAAAGGTTTGGAAACTTCTAAGTATATTTTCGTTTTTTGAGCGAATAAATAAAGAGTGAAATGGGTTTTTTTTTTTTAACATTTATGGATTATTATTTTACAAAAATTATTTTCCAGTTGTTTTAAAAAAAAAAAAATTGTAATTCTCCCTCCCTTCCCTTCCTCCCTCCCTCCTTCCTCTTCCACCAGCAGATGATCCTGATGCTGTTTCTGCTCTTTAAGCTGCGCGACGAACCCGTCGATATGCTGGTGATGTAATGACAATGAGACAATTATGAGAAGAGCACGTTAATTTTCTCAACGAGATGAGGAACTTCGTTAGGTGGTGTTGCCTCATAAATATTCTCGGTCCGCATCCAAATGTAAAACGTATGTTTAAAGATTATAATTGTAATATAATTTATTTTTTTGACATAAATTAAACTAAATTTTTTTTTTTATCACAGTTAAATCCAAGGTACCGACGACGAAGGACCAACATGGCGGGAGCCACACCCGTCGAAATGCTGGTGATGTTAAGACAATTAGGCAATTGCGAAAAGAGCACATTAATTTGCTCAACGAGATGGTAATTTATCTTACTTTTTTTACATAAATTAAACTTTAAATTTTTTTATCACAGTTATTTTTAAATCTCTAAATGAAGCATTAGTATTGATAGATCCCTTCTACATTCAAAACGAAAAATGTCTATCATCATAACTAGTACTCCGTAAGGGTCGGTCGGGTCGAGTTTAAGGCATATTCGAACTCGAACCCGTTAATAATTACAGAACCGAATTTGACTTGAACTTTATCATTGTTCAACTCGATTCGACCAGCAGTAAAAAAAAATCTCAAACAACTCATTTCTATTTGTTAACAATAACAAATACAATGAACAATTTCGAAAAAGGAAAGGAACTAGAAGACAAATCTGCCGATAGATTGGATGCTGTAGGCGTCAAAAATAATAAAAATAGGTGAGTATCTCACTGAACTCAATGATAATGGTGCAAGTACTCATTTTTTTTTACATTATTTTTTTTTAGTGGAGATGGAATTGATATCTCTGGAGAGGCTGCAAGTAACGAATTTGCAATCCAATGCAAGAATTGGGCCAATAAAATTGGTATTCTATCGAAAGTACATATATTATCAAAAAAAATGAAACGCAATTAATCGATCTTGAAACACAATTAGGTCATAACGTTGTAGATGAGCTTGCAGGGGTGCTCTCTAAACGTGAAAACCGTGATAAAATTGGTATTGTGGTGGCGCCCTCTGGATATCAAAGAAAGCCGGACTGGAGCAAGGCATAATCTTGACAAACGTAAAAGATTTATGCAATGATCTTTTTGATAAAATTGCCGAAAAACAAAAAGCAAACATTGATTTAATTTAAAAAAAGTAGTTGTTAATTTCTTTTTTATTTCTTTTATTATGTACTTCCTTACTATTTTAAATTATTTTCTTTGTATTTTATTTTGTATTTTTTATTATTTTATCTTATTTTCGACTGTTTTGGTTCCGAATAAATATTTACTTCTTATTTGCTTTAAATTGTGATTTTTTATTTCGTTACTTATCGTTGGAGTTTAAATTCAGTGATAGGATTGAAAATTAACTTAATCTCAACACACCAACTATATCCTGAAATCGATAATTTATGTACTTTTAACAAATTTTTTTAACAAAGAATTTAATTATGAACAATAAATATAATCCTCCTTATTTATTCCAGATCATATCCGCTTGAACAGTATGGCGTGCGTAATTCCGGTTGTCACAATGGTTTCAATTGAATCGTATTTGATATTCTTAATTAAATTTTCTTTTCCTAGCAAATGAGTATAGGTTAATTTTTTTTCAGTAATATCTCAACGTGACTATTTAAAAGAATAGTCTTATACTAAAATTCAAAGACATTACCTTGATGCGTCGATAATATTTGGTGATGGTCTTTTTTATTTTGTAGGGATTTTTTACGTAAAATATATATTTATTATCACTTTACTTTCTCAAAATTTAAAGTTTAATACCAAAATATTTTTATAAATATAATCTATGTAAAACTTATATTAATTTATACAATTTATATAAATTTATATTAAAATGTATTTATTAATGGTTACTATAAAGTATAAAAAACTTTGCATTTATGTAAATAATAATTTTTAATAGAAAATATTAATAAATAATTTTAAAAGACTTATTTGTATTTGAAATATTAGTGAAGAAAATAGAAAGTTTTATAATTTAACAATAACTTCAATTTATAAATTCTTATATATATTTTAATATTAAAATAAAATATAAATATATTATTATATAATTAGTTTGAAGCATATAAAAGACTATATATATATTTTAGTAAAACAAAATATTTATTTGATTCATTTACTCAATATTAAGTTAATGTTTATTAAAATTTTTTTAATAAAATTGTTATTTTATATTTGATTTTAATTTTTAATTTTATTTATTAATATAAAATATTAATTAAAATTTCTTATTAAAAATATATTGATTTTTTTGATTTTATTATATTTATTATTATATTTATTTAATAAAATTTATTTATTAACATACTATAATAAAGGAGGATCAATGTTTATTGTAAAAAAAAAAATTTAGTGCGATTTTATTAGTTTAAACCGAATTTCTAGGTGTTTAGCGATGAAAAAATTTTCTTTTCCTCAAAAAATTATCCTTTTTAGGCAATTCGTGTAATGCTAACGACCAGCCATTATTATATACCTTATTATTGTATTTACCTTACACTAACTCTAACACTAACACTAAAAGGTAAAGGATAAGGTAGTGGATAAGGTAGAGGATGAATTCTACCTCAAGGAATAAAGGTTGTTTAAATTTTTTTTTTTAAAAAAAAGATTCAGATCAGTCGGTCTGTCACGGCAGCGCAGTCAGATGCATGATTAATTTTTTTTTTCTAATATTGTTTTATTGAATCTTGGAATGTAGGTTGTGAATTAATATTTACTGTATATATATACCTGTATCAGTAAATAATATAATAATAATACTATATTTTAATAAATTACAGGATATTCTAAGACAGATACAATATAGAATAAGGGAAGTCCAAATGAACACTGATAACGCGCCGAAATAACTACTAAACAGAAAGTACCTACCGGGGAATCAGTTTATGGTAATTATCAATTGATGAATCTGTTGACGACATAATAGTAAAGAAACGATCATTACGCATTGAATCGGTTGATGACGTGAGAGAGAAGAAACAATTATTTTATTGAATCGAGAGAAAGAAAGTGATCATTGTGAATCATTTGATATTAAATGCCATCATGAACTTTACAAAGATATTGAAGTAGATGTAACAGTTCCTCATTAATTCAAAAAGATAATAAGAACCTTGAT